CACATGCACACACGTGTATCTATAGTGCACACACATGTATCTACAGTACATTTATGTACATACAGCACACACATGCACACACGTGTATCTATAGTATGTGTATGTGCATATAGCAGGTTCTGCCTGTGTTAACTGCCCTCCTCTCTGGCCGACCCACCTGCCTCTCCCTTTGTCCCCCTAGTCTCTTCCACAGGTGTCACCAGATTCTTCCTAAACACAAATCCAACCTTACCATCCTCTTCTTCCCCACTCTGCGGGCACAACTGCTCAGTGGATGTGCCACACCCTCTTGTGCGTCTCCTTACCCCAGGCTGGGTGAGGCCCTCCCTGGGCACCTCCCTCTTCTCACACATGGCACAGGTGCCTGGCTGCTCTTCTTATGGCCCAGGCAGTCTGAGCTCTGCCATGCATGTTGGGCCCCCGTGCAGAGAGTGGCACATGGTGCCTGGACACAGACCATGTCCTGGCCAGTCAAGGTGTCCTCTGGGGGCTCCCGGCTGTGCATGGCCTGGCTGCCCAAGACTGCAGACCAGCAGACCATGGCTCTTGTGCTGGCTCTGCCATGTTGTTCAAGGAGTCATTTCTGTAATCAAGTAGGAGGCTCACGTGGGCCTGTCTTATAAATCAGCACTTCATTTTCAAGCAAATGCCAGCCCTTCCCCTGGGCTGTGTGTGTCAATTTTAGCTGTAGCTCATCCCCAAGCCTGTGCTTGTTCCTCTGGTTTCCATTTCTTCAGAATTTAGGGAACATTAGGTCTACTTAACAAAATGAGGCCAGGTATTCCTGGCAGGAATGTCCTCAGGGGTGGTGTTGGCGGCACTGCGGGATGGAGCTTTGTCCGTGTGCAGTGAGTCCCTCCGACCAGCCCGCTCCTGTAGAGCAGCCTACACTGAGTTGTGTTTAGTTTCTGCCACAGCGCATGTAGGAAATGATTCAGAACCCACATTGCCCGTAAATGTGCCCATGGAAAAGTTATTACACAGGACTGCCTGCCTGTCTGCTTGCCAGTTTCCCTGCGTGCCTGTTTGCTGTTGTTGGTTTGGTTAAGGGTTTAAGAGTGCTCAGCGAGGAGAACTCCTGCCCTCTGACTTGTTTTGTGGCTGGGTGAGGGGGTGTTTCAGCCTTGAGCCCATGATCAGAGAGATGCCCTGTGCGCTTATGGTGTCCCTTTGCTGTGAATGAAGGAGGAGTGGGACACAGGCTGTAGGACCCGCAGCCCTGCTCAGCACTCCCAGGCCTGGTGACGGGTCCCATAGAACCAGGCGTTTGAAGTGGAACTGGTCGTGAGGAGATGTCTGATGCAGCACCCTGGAACTCTCTGGCACCCCTCAAGTTTCCCTTCCACACCAGAGGAGCCCCATGGCTTTGCCAGCTGGCACTACCCATGTTCCCAGGGTGCCAGGTCTGGTTTGTGGAGTGGCAGGTGCTGGGGTTGGCCTTGGTCTGGGTGGGGCAGCAGGAGCTGGGATGGAGGAAGGACAACCACCCTCTCCTGCAGTCACAGGTGGATGGACGTTGGCTGAGGCCGGGACTCAGGGGTGTCCCTTTGGTCTGCTCCGTTCTATGGTGTGTGTGCATCTTCCTTTGGAAGCTATGTCAACAGGAGCCGTGAAGAACCGTCCAGTGACAATCACATGTGTGACCTGGGAGAGACTGAGTTCTGTCATTAGGCTCTTCTTCTGTTAGGTCATCTGTGGGGGTGTGTGTGTGTCTGGTCACCTGTGTGTGTGTGTGTGTGTGTGTGTGT